AAGCTGGTTTCCACCTCTGACCTTGGAGCAGAGTTTCTAAATGTGCGTGCTGAGGGCTATAGCTGTGTTTTCGAGGTTTAATTTCGGATAATTTCCAAATTAACTGGAAAATTAATCCACTGGTTTCTAATAAAGTCTGAACAGCAGTTTTAGAAAGAGACCGATAATTTTGATCTTATAATAAAGGAAAAATGAGATTTGGGCGTGTATCAATCTGCTACAAAATAATGCTAAATATGCTTAGTGTCAGGATGGCCGAGCGGTCTAAGGCGCTGCGTTCGAATCCCACTTCTGACATCAAAGGAAAATTTCACGTGGCGTTGTGTGTCACGTCGGTTTCACCATCAGCCTTCGCGCCGTTTAAAACCTGCAGTAATCATAGGGGACTTGAGCCCCTGCGTAAGGCCGTTAATACTAAGTACTCCAGGGGTTCTGAAACCAAGTTCCGATTTCGCTTACATCTGTGTGTCTCATTAGAGACCATGATAGATGCACTTTATTGACCCCGATCATGTGGTATGCGAAGACCAAGAAATTCGTAAATACCAGTAATTATATAAATAGCAAATGAAAGCTTCTTATATCCTTTTTTGACCTAATAAAGTGTTCAGCTGGTCATGTATTAGTATTCTGTTCTACAGATATCGGGGCCTTTATTCAGTGCGAGCAATTTAAAAGCTTTGATTTATATGCGGTTTGGTTTATTGTTTATTATTTGATTGATTTCTAACATAGTTTAATTACTAGCATTATTTAATGATGAGTCAATTCGGAAATACTCTGGGGTGTTTCACATCCTCTGATGTTTTTTTTTTTTCCTGTTATGCGCATTTTAAAAACTGCCAGGAGGGGGAGACAGAGTATTTTTACATGGGAGCATAGGGAGGATCGGATCGATGTTATATTTCTTCCTTTCCTTTATCACAGTGGTTCTCAAACTTTTTGGACCTCGTCCCGCTTCAGAAAAAGCCCAAAGCAGCCACGTACCTCATGGTTGAAAAAAAAAACCCCACAGTCACCTGAATGCATGTGCGTGCGCCGGTACACACACGATTAAACAGCACCATTTGCAAACACTAATCGTGCCCTCCGCGCCAGATTTACGATCAGTGCTATTGCAGGTGACCGAAGCGCAGTCCTTCTCGGACGTAACAGGTGCTTTTGATAGCTCCGATCTAATAGTTTTTTTCAACCATGACAAAATACCTGCTTTCTGTAAGCTATTCATTTTTTTGTTCTGTTGGCATGAATCAAATTCTCTTTAAGATCAAGATTAATATGGGATGTATTTCCTGCAATAAAAGACAATGAAAATGATAATCATAAAATGAAAATACAATCTGCACTTTGCCATTTAGTTTCATAAACAATATATCCTCAGGACCCATCCTCGCCAAGTTTTATCGTCATGGTTGGGCGGGCACCGAATATCGATAATCGGCGATACCTATTGGATTGGATCGAATACGGTATTGGATCAAATCGGACCGAAAAGAATTAAGATCAGAGTATTCCCCCATCCTGGTATTAAAAGCTCAAGAATTGCCGCCCGCAGTACTGAGCAGGTTACCTTTAACCCTAAACGTGCCATAACAAAGAGTATGCAAAGTATCTTGCTCAAAATAAAAGTATTTTTATATCAAGTAATCTCACATGATTAGAAATTTCAATTCCTATTTTTTTTTCAGCGCAAACAACAAATTACCACGGACTTGTCGCGTACCACCGGGGGGCACTCGGAGTAGCGCAGTTTGAGAAGCACTGCTTTATCTTTACCTTGGTGTGCCGCTCCTCGTTATTGCGGTTATATTTGGGAAGTATTTTTTCTTCCACGCACATCTCCCAAACAGGTTGAAGGCACGACCCCGGGCGTTTGGAAGCCTGCGCCGGCAAGGCAGTGGGAGTCACGGTGCCGATGTGTTTGCGCCGATGCTTGTGAACGGTGGAGAACATCTATAGATCCGCATAGCCTTCAGGACCCGCGTCTGTAGGCGTTGAGAGCAAAAGCGTGGGGGTAAATCAATCACAACTTCAAATCCAATGAATTTTCCTTTTACCCATCCCATAGCGATTCTTTCTGGGTTTTTTTTTCTTTGAGAAGCAACATTCAACAACGAGGGAAGGAACAGAATCGGGTCATTCTCTTTGTAATGGTTTGTATGCTTTTCAGGCGCATTTACCACTCTTGGCGGTTATTTATTTATAAAGTTATATAATACTTTGTTTATTTTGGCCCAGGTGCCTATATAGTCGCGCTTTGCCAAAGCTAGCACAAGGAAGTGCTTTGCTTTACAGCTGTGCCATGGGGGCGAACCCGAGCGTAAAGCAGCGTTGATTGTGATCAGTATGATCCCTGGCATCAGCTGTTGTCTGATAGATCTGAATGCCATTACTTTTACATCAACTGTACAAATGGCAGATGGGCATACCCTGTTAGCTTATCAATAAAATGTTTGTAATATACTGTAATTTGTCTTCGTCTGATTTTTAGATTCCCTTTGTTGCGTACATGTGTGTGCACCTGAAATCTGTGGGTCCATTTAAAGATGACCCAACTGAAACATTTCTTCCCTGAATATGTACGTCAGCTAGCAGTAGTGAGTGGAGGTTAAGGCTGCAAGCTCCCAGCCCTACCCACAAGGCTATGCTAGCACTTAATTGTTTTGTTTCTCTTTTTGCCGTCTTCTGTTCTCACTTCAGCGCAAGTTTCTCTGTCAGGCTGGGGGTGGTGAGGGGGTACGGGTCCTAGCTTCTAATGATGCAACATATACACCCTTAACCCTGAAAAAGCACAATTCAGATCATATCTCCCCACGAATGTCCTGTTCAGTCAAACACATAGCATCCTGTGTACGTCTTTGTCTCTTGTTAAATGAGGGCCATTAAATTGGAGGCTGGCGTTTCTTGGCAGTTGTGGCTGACAGTCGTCCATGTTCTGCTACAGCCTGAATGAATGCTCTTCACATGACTTAACTGGTTTTTTCCAAGTAGCTTCTCTTTAAATGCAGATTATAAGCTGAACAGTCTCAGTCCAGTCTAAAGACCCAGAATAACACAATGAAAAAGGACCAAACCTTAACCAGAACCAGTGCTTAATGGGAGTCAAAGACCTCGCTTCTGTTCTGTGTTCCCGTCTTTCTCATGTTCTTTCGCTTGCGTTCTTCATGTTCTTTCCCTGTAATAATGTTAACACTTCTGTGTTAGAGCCTCCCACAGAATCTGAGGATTTGCTGTTACTATAGGAACTGAGTCTAGAATGTGAAAAGAGCCCATCAGTTTCAAACATCCAGTATAAAAGGTATGCATTTTTTTTTTGGTTCTGTTGGTCATGTTGTTTGTATGTCCATTTCTCTGTTGATCTTAATGATGGTGCCGAATCAGGGCTCTGATCACTCAGTTTCACACCCATGCTCATTGTCATTAAAGGCGGGTGAGACAAAATAGGCTTTTCCGTATTTTCATAAACCTTTTCTCTTCCATCCGCTCCTTTCCAGTTCTCTTGGTCTCTGGGCATTTCTCACCTCAGGGAGCCAATTACATATGAGCTTATTAAGATGTGCTCCACACACTGACAGCATTTCCTTTGCTTTGTAGCCTGGTCATCAAAAGTCTGATCTTAGTGCTTTGGGTTTCCCCGTCCGTTTCACAGCTGGCTCGAGCTGCCTCTTTCCCTGACAGCTAAAGGAGCTTTGGCCTCTCCCCCTTCGGTTCATTATGCCCATGTCCAAGGTACGCTTGATGGAGGTCAAGGTGAAAACATTCCCCCTCATTAGTCCTATATTCCCCCATCCTGGTTTCTCCTCCCTTTCAAGCGAGGTGAACCGAACATGAGGACATATTCTATCACACTGCCATCAACCCAAACCATAGCTGTTAATACTCTGTGGTCATGTGGAGGATCTCTGACCACTTAATAGTAGTTTGGTTTACATTCATCTTGCAGAATGTTTTTTTATCACAAGTAGAATATAACTGAGAAAGTAGGATCAGACAGTCTCTGGAGCTAGTAGGGGGTTAAGAACTTTGCTCAGGGGCTCAACAATGACATCACTCTGTATACAACAGGATGTGAACCAGCAGCCTCCTAATCCACCAAGCCACACCAGTTGGGGTTCTGTGTGAAGGAAACAAATAGTGAGAATTCGGTGACAGCAATGAACCTTGAGCACCCAACAGAGCTACGCAGTTGAGTGGAGGCTTTCCCGCCTTCGGCTGATTGATGATGAGTGGCATCTTGTCTTTATATTGTACTTTTCAGTTTGAAATATCAAACTTACCATGTGATACAAGCTGTCACCTTAAATGGCCTTTTTTTGTTTATTTTGACTTAAGGGCATGATTTTACAATGCTAATTGGATTTTCTTTCTAACCTACATTCTAACTGAAGTAACCCCTCGCTCTGCGAATCTCCAGACCGTGGCAGGTCTCCCGATAGCAGACATTCTGGGTGCCAAATACAAACACAGCATGATTACAAAACCTTTGTTGACAACAAACAGGAACACGATGTCCAGGCTTACAGGGCTGACGATCAAACCGTGCGCTGTCACGGTCAATGAGAAACAGCCACTCGGCACCCAATCCGCTGCCGGCCTGAGAGCAAGTTGTCACGGCAACCTCGGAGAGATGGTTAGTCCTCCTCACAACGTTTACAGCGATTAGCATTCACCATGAGTCAGATGCTATGTTAATTATCTGCATGTTTTGTAACATATTCTCTCCCGGTTTGACACTTGCGAAACTGATCGTTTTAAAAGCTCAGAGAATGCTGTTGAAAAACAGGTGAAAGCACTTGTTAAATTGCACACTCGCATTAATTTGCCGTCAAAATGGTTGTAGAATCGTGGCTGTCCTGATTCTCACAAGACCTGCTTTCAGCATCCAAGTGGGAAGAACCAAGCAGTGTGGAGCATCTTTTCCGTGTCTTTTTATTGTACAGTAGTACAGGAAGATCTGTGTGGTCGTTGTGTGTTTGTGGGGATAACCATCTACCAATCCATTCAACTGCTTATTTGGTGGCACATCCAAAGAAAATCGGTCTTGGAAGTGCATAGAAGATGGGCGGCTCTAGTGTAACTCACCTACTGACAGGAAAGCGATGCTGAATGAGTGATTAGGGATGTGTACATGGACTGAGAAAGTGGCCTCCTGTCCTGCTGTATCTGCCTGTCTCAGAAAGGAGTCCAGAAGTTTGCATTTTGACACAAATACACACATAAATGTTTGTCCAGAGAGACTAACAATAAGGGCAAGTTATGCATCATGATGTACTGTTTGATCCAACGTGACTGGAAAAGAACTGAAATCACGTGTTTCATCCAAGAATATAAGACACACATCCTACAAAAACAGATTTATAAGTATATCAGTGCAAAAAACAAAAGGTTTTAAAACAGTGAAAGGTGTGAGGGCTTAGAAATGGTTAAGCTGCTAGGATAGACGGCAGAGTTGTGCATCCGAGAGCGAGCAAGAGCAAGAATGACAGCTAACGACCTAGAATAACGTGGCATATAGGGTCGATACACGGTGATCTCACAGACCAAGGATACCCGATAAACGTTGCTGTTCTAGCATAACGGACGCCTATAGTTCCACACCTGTATGTGGTAACAGGTGAACTGGAATTCATCAAAAGAGTCCTTGGTCGGGACTTTGAAAATCACACCTGCCTATATTAACATGAAATTTGTAGCACAAGTGGCACAGAAGAAATACAGAAAAGTACTGCGGGATCTGTGTAGATTTGTAATTTAACATGGAAAACAAACATTTAAATACTTAAATGGATTTGCATAATTAAGAATTTCTGCAAATATATGGCAATATTTATTATACATACAACTTACATTTTTGTTTTAGATCGGAAAATGTGTATTTTACTGTAAATCTAAACTGAAAGTGAATGTACAGATTTTTAGGTCCAGGTATTGGTATTTGCACATCAAGTTGTACATAAACTTTAAGAAAGTTACCTATTACTTCTATGTCCATATTAAAACATAAAAACACTTTCCTATGCCCATTAAAGAATGGATACATTGTAGCTCTTTTCACTGTTACCAGACAAATGAACAGACACATACACAAGCAGACATTTATGTTTGAATCCTGCATGTATGAGAATTTTCTATTGATTGGACCCCAACACAAAAAAACTCAAAGAGAAGAGAAAACTGAAACATAAAAAAAAATATTTTGGCACTTTAAACAAAATTAAAAAAAATGAACAAAAGCAAAATAAATAAACACGATGTAAAAAGGTTTTGCGGGAATATTCTCCTTATTGACATTTTGTGACACTGATCAGCTTCAAAACACAGGTCTGAATTATTTAAGGTTTATTGACCTGAGAAATAACAGAAATAACAGATAAAATGAATAAAATCGGAATACGACAGGTATTTACTGTTTCACAGACGGCAGTTCACTATATAAACATCACATATACATTAATATGACCATCTCAGAAACCAAGAACCTCGAGAATAAAACAGAGAACTTGAGTACAAATGTACATTTGGCCATTTTTTTCCTGCCTTGTGGTGTCTCCCAGCCCAGTGAATCCAGAGGTCCACGTCCAATTCACTGTTTTCATTTTTTCGGTAGTTCATCGTAAAAGAGTCTTGGAATAAGGTTACGAACATGGTGAATACAAACTGTCATGCAGTTGACATGTTGGTGAATCGCTGTAAACGGCAGCATGCAGGCTGGTTCTGGGGGGAGTGTCCTCAGTCTGAAGTGCTGTTCCTGGGCGCCAGGTCTCTCTGTTTGAAATACTGTGTCACTTGCTGTGGGAGTTCTGCCAGCACTGTTTTGGCTAAAGTTTCCTTTGGAGCCTGTAAAACAGCAGCAATGAACGTTTGGTAGAAGCCCTTCGCACTTAATGTTTCTGCCGAACATTGGACGCCATTTTCCTGACTTGATGCTGCTGGGGCAGGCATAAGAGGGGCCATAATTCATACTTGGTGAGTGACAGGGGAGGAGGCATGCAGTGGGCCAATCAGACTTCAGCTGGAGCCAGTGCCCACGAGGCCCCCCCCCCTGTACTGAATATTTCAATTGGCTCACTGCAGGTTGAATGTGGTGTGTGGCGCAGTGAGTGGCCCCATAGCCTGACCGCTCCGGTTTTGCGGGTTGATTCACGTCCCTGGATTTGTGCATGTGTGGACGTTTACATGTCCTCCCTGTGTGTCTAAATGTAATGTTCGTAATATGTGAGGGTATGCTCTAAAATGGACAGCATGTACCCTGTGCCAGACAAGCGGTTATGGTAACTGGATGAATCAGAACTGCCCAAGGGAAATACAACAGGACCTTCCTGGGACTTTAACTGGCAATTTTTGGGTTAGTTACTTAAATCCAGGTTTATTTCCATTACATTCCCAAAATACTATGTTTATCTGGCAAGACAAGCTAAGTTTCAGCCTCTCCACACTTCCACAATAAAATTAATTTATCGTTTCCTGAAGATGGGCTTGTTCCAAGCCCTGCTGTCTGCTTTCTCCTTCTGTAGAGGAAGTCACATGAGTCCAAGAACACCCACTCTGTCTCTTACTGCTGTCCTGTTCGCACACGTGCCGCAGAACCGGGGTCAGCCCTGGACAGCAAGAAGAATTCACCGCAGCACTGGCCACTGTGGTCATGGTAGCTATGATGCCACACTGTAAATTTGCTCCAATATTATGATCGTTTGCTCTGGACAGCAGCACTGACCATATTTAGAATAAACTGCCTAAAAAGAGAAGTCGAGCAAGATAAGCAGAGGGAACATTTAAACACCATTAACTAGTTTCCAATAACTCGCCTGTTTTATGTTCATTGGAAACAAGAGAAATGTGTACAAAAAAACAAGAGCAGAAATAACGATAAAAACAATGAGGCTGTTTTTTCAGTAACGATTTAAAGATTTCAGAATGTAGGCACCCATCTGCAATGAAACCCCAAGACTTCAAAGTTCTTCCTTCGTTTGGAAAAAAATGTGAAAGTAAAATGAATTCCTACCTCCATTAATATTCATTGACTACTCTGATGAGGGAGTAGTACTCACATCTGACACCGATTTATGACGCAGTAAAATTACACGTCTTACACTGTCTCAGAAGCATCACTGTCTTTGAGGCACAGCTTATTAATAGGACATGAATGAAAATCAGAAGTGAATCTTACACTGGCAAACAGGAAAGATATAAACATCTTAGTGAATCGCGATTATATTTTTGAACTGCAGTGTTCGAAGAGGACACAAGGGGGCAGAGTGATTAAAGACATAGACTAATAAGCCCAAGATGTATAAAAATAAGCAAATGAATGAGGTTAAAAATGGCATTTTGGGATTGTGGCACACATTGGTTCTTTTGTTCACATCCCTGTGCTGTAGAACCACTATATGCGAAGCCTGAACCTCATCCATTCAGCTTCCATAACCATTTATCCAATGCATGGTTGCAATGTAAACTAATTCCAGTGAAACATAAAACAGTATGACTGGGTACGAAATCGCGAACTGCTTCAGAAGATGCTCCGGCCCGGCAGCGAAAAGTGGAATTAAATTTTTCTGAAAGGAGGAAGGCGGGGCCACTCACGTTGCGGTAATCACGGAAGGGCACAAACTGCACGATGTCCCGGATAGCCTCCTCGCCCGTGTAGGACCGCAGCACACTGTTGTCCCCATCCAGGAATTCCATGGCAGCAAAGTCGGCGTTGCCCACGCCCACGATGATGATGGACATGGGCAGCTTGGCGGCCTGTACGATGGCGTGCCGCGTCTCGTCCATGTCGCTGATCACGCCGTCCGTGATGATCAGCAGAATGAAGTATTGCTGTGCAGGGGGGGTTGGGGGGACACTACAATCACCAGGGTGAAGCAGGAGTCACATATATTTCCTCCTGAAGAGGAACACAGGAGTATTTCCAGCAGGAATAATACCAGCATTAGTATCTGTGGATTCCAGTGGTGTTTGTTTATAAACCAGCATTCTGCAAAGCAAACCGGGGCAATTCTATGATTTTTTTTGTGGCTGGGAGCATGAAAGTGGCCATAATTCATACAGAGGGGCCAACCTTATCATTAGCCAGTGATATGTTTTGAATCAGTGAGTGACAGGGGAGGGGGCCAATCAGCTTTGACGTGGGGCCAGTGCCTCTGTAGTTCCGCCCCTGTATCTGTACCCAGAGCGGGTTCACCGCTGTTCTTGGGAATGAGCTAAAAAGGCAGCCTGTGATTCACAGGGAGCTGGGAGCCCACACCCCACACCCCCCCCCCAGCTCTCTTTCAGGGAAGAGATTGTGACGCCTGGGCAATAGATAAGGAAGAGGGCAGTAAGGACTGAGGAGAGACAGGGGCCAAGATATCATTCAAGGCGAGTGAGGAACCGCTCATCCATCTGAGGGACAGCCCTCGGGTCCCTAACGGAACCGCTCATCCGTCTGTGGGACAGCCCTCGGGTCCCTAACGGAACCGCTCATCCGTCTGTGGGATAGCCCTCGGGTCCCTAACGGAACCGCTCATCCGTCTGAGGGACAGCCCTCGGGTCCCTAACGGAACCGCTCATCCGTCTGAGGGATAGCCCTCGGGTCCCTAACGGAACCGCTCATCCGTCTGAGGGACAGCCCTCGGGGCCCTAACGGAAC